GGGGGGAAAATGAAAAATAAGAAAAATCTATATCAGTGTTTAAAAGAGAAAATATTCTTAGAAACTAAATTTTATAAATATAAAACATTAAAAGTCATTAAACATTCTTGATAAAATTTCAGACAGGACTCGGTGTCTTTCTTATAATAATCATTCACACAGTGTTATAAGGAAAGGCATCTTTTAGTCCCTACAAACTACTGAGACCTTTCCAGTTTATATTGGGTCTTCCTAAATCAGTAGATAAATAAAATGAATGGGCCAATTTGTGACATTATAAGACAAATTCTACGATTTTAATGTTCTAGGAATTTCCAGAACTATAATTAGCTGTTATTTTTAAAAGTTTTTTCAGAATTATCTGATTTTGCATTTTTTTCTCAAAAGTATAAACAAACTCTCCCTCATTATCAAGCTCATTAATTCCTGCTTGAGCATTCCTTTCTTTCCTGTTTTGTTTTTCCCAATTTATAAACACCCTTTACCTTGTTTTACCATTATTCTACTTACTGTTCTTGCTTTGTGCTTTATAAATGTATACTTTGTGTCCTATCTGTCTGTCTGTCTATCTATCTATCCATCTATCTAAATACTATTAATTTTGCACATAGGTTATTTTCTCATGTGAAAAAGCACTTAGGTTACTTAGCACAAGCTAAAACACTTGTCATGCACTGCACAATCACAATGAATTAATACATAAGTCCTAATTTAAATGTCAGTAAATCCTTTTTCCTCTCTCTCTCCACAAATTTTTTAAAGACACTTGGAAAAAAGATAGCTAATGAAACCATCACTAAAATAAACTTAATTAAGGCCCAGGAATTGTCTGTGAAGATAATTAAATATAATTCTAAACAGATTAAATGCTGAGATGGGAAACTAAGAAACGAAGAGAGAGGGAGAAAAGAAGGGATCAATCTTTTACTAATGAGATTTCTGGGCTGATCAGGGAAAAACATGGTACAGAAAATTCTTTCAGTTCTCTCTCACTGTTTTCTAGGAATATTTAAACAACAGTATATCACTTGATCTCAAACTCTCTTGTTCATCATTAATAATTATGGATTACTAAAGAAATGAGGATAGTGTGTCGTTAAGAGGCAGGTGACAGTCAGTCCATTTGAATTAGAAGCCTAACTCTGCCATTTATTAGCTCTACGACCATAAGCCTAAGCACCTTCATCTCTTCATCTATATTAATAGGATAATAAAAGCACCTATTTATCAGGTTATTAAATGAGATGATATATGTCAAAGGCTTAGCAAAATTTCTGATACTGAAAAAATACCTTTAAAATGTTAGATGCTTATCTTTTTTTTTTTTTTTAAATGGAGTCTCCCTTTGTTACCCAGGCTGGAGTGCAATGGCGTGATCTTGGCTCACTGCAACCTCCGCCTCCTAGGTTCAAGTGATTCTCTTGCCTCAGCGGCCCAAGTAGCTGGGATTACAGGCACGCACCACTACGCCCAGCTAATTTTTGTATTTTTAGTAGAGACGGGGTTTCATCATGTTGGTCGGGCTGGTCTCAAACTCCTGATCTCAGGTGATCCACCCGCCTTGGCCTCCCAAAGTGCTGAGATTACAGGCGTGAGCCACCACGCCCAGTCGATGCTTATCTTTTTACATCCATTGTGAGTAAAGCATTTTGTTCATACCCCATATAGACCCAATCACATTATTTCTCTACTTGAAACTCTACATTGGCATCCCACTGCCTCTAGAATTAACTGCATACTCAAAGTCCTCTCATAATCATCTGTCATTATTATTTATCTTCTACTCTAAACTAAGCCCCACTAGACTTCAGTCCCTCAAATTGTACCACACATACCTTGATGCCTCCACACCTTTCTATTTGAAGTTCATTTTGCATGATCATTCCTCCCCCTCTCTTCCTTCAAAATGTAAACATCACTTCATCTGAGAACCTTTCCTTGACACAGGGACTAGTTAAGATCAACCAGCTTGAAGTTTATGGAGGGAAATCTCTCTCAACCAGAAGGTGTCAAGACTGAAAATGAAAGCCAAGATGCTTAGACTGACCTGTGAGAAGTATAAAAACAGCCTCAGACTGCTTATCTCTAAACTGCTCGTTATTAGCTGTAAGTGTACTCGTAGTTTAAGCCAGAAATGACAAATGACAACTCTTGAGCCAAATCCAGCCAGATACCCATTTTTATAAACAGTTTTACTGAAATACAGTCTGCCTGTTAGCTTACTATTACCTATAGTTGTAAAGTTCAGTAGTTGCAACAGAGACCAAATGATCCAGAAAGCCTAAATTATTTACTATCTAGCCCAAGCTTGTCCAACTTGCAGCCCGTGGGCCACATGCAGCCCAGGACAGCTTTGAATGTTGCCCAACACAAATTCATAAACTTTCTTAAAACATTATGAGATTTTTGTGATTTTATTTTATTATTTATTTATTTATTTATTTGCTCATCAGCTATCATTAGAGTATTTCATATGTGGCCCAAAACAATTCTTCTTCTTCCAAGGTGGCCCAGGGAAGCCAAAAGATTGGACACCCCTAATCTAGCACTTTATAAAAGTTTGCTGACCCTTGGTTTAATTTAAGCTACTGTTAGTTAGGTTTTGTTACAGCCAAAGCATCTTAACTGGTACAGTTTTACTTTTTACTTTTCCTACTGGAAAAATTCATCTGACTTTACTATAATCATTTGCATATCTTCCCTTCTACACGTTTATATTCCCACCTGTGTGAAAGCTCCAAGCAGTACCGGCACTAACATTTATATCCTTATTACCTAACACAGTACCTGACAAGTAGAAGGCATTTAAATATTGTTGACTGAACAAGTAAACAGATGAATGAATGTGCATATTTGATAATCAATATTTAAATATTAAATATTTGATAAAAATTAACATGTACATTAGGTGCTCTGAGTGATACAAAAGATCTTGAATCCAGAATGGCTTGAAAATCAGCGTTAGGAAATATAAGAATCTGTGCGCACCTCAGCACTAAGCAGGGGAAAGGGCACCCTAACACAACACTACCCTCTACTATGGCCCACTAAAACCATAATGCAGACTAGCCACAGTTTTTTGGCATCAGTCCCCGGTGCCCTTTTATTTTGCACCTCTTATTTTGACTTTGTTCATTGCCTTTGTTGAGATTAATGTTAAGAAATAACAGCAAATACAACACTATCATCTTGTAAACTTGCCATCCAGGAATTGGTACACTTGAACACAATCAACTATGAGTGAGAGATGAGTCTAACCTGTAAAGTTGCCTTAGATATTCAAGATTAATGTTACCATATGAGAACCTTTTTTAACACAATCTAACCTTCCTGTTTTATTCACTTTCTCATATTTCTTACCTTTAAAATCCCCCATATAATATTTTACATAATATAAATGTTTTGCAACTACAGAAGTATTATTCTAAAAAAGTAAAATTTGGTGAGGTGGAAGGTAAAAATTTAATGACCAGTAAAAATCATAGTTTTCTTCCATAGCCATGTAATTTTTAAAAACAAAACCAAAAGAAGAAAAAATTTTAAAAGGAATCAGAAGCAAGGCAGTTTCTTGATTGACAAGTTGTATTCATCAAGCATATTTTCCAGACTCAGAACCCTACTGTATGTAAATCCTCCCTTCGAATTTATCATCCTATTGACTTTCTCCCATTACCAAGAGATTTCCCCCAAACACTTTCTGCCTTCATTCCATTTTACCAGTGCTGGCTAGCTCAGCCTCCCCACCCTTACAGACAGGTATCTAACTTCTAACTCCTCTCCTGTAACATTTCACAATCCTTAAAACTACAAGAGGACAGAACTCAGAATTTTACAGGAACATAATTGATCACTGTACATTAATGGTTGTGGGATGATCAGGCGAACAAAAGTCACATAATAATAATGGTATCCTCTTCCAAACTCTACCACAAATATAACATTTAAAGAATACTTAAAAGCCAACAATCTAGGCAGATTTATATAACATCACTATAAATTTGGAAATAAAAAATAAGCAAACAACTGTGAAAATGAAAGGAATGAGGAAGGAATTCCCTATCTTTTAATAAACTTAATAATTCTTTATAGAATCAAGACGTCAGGATGCTATAACTACAATCCTAGTAAACTCTTAAACATGGAAAACTAATACATTAAAGATAAACACATTTATATTGAAGTGTTAAAATAAATATATTCACACAAGACATTGAAAGACTGACAAAAGAGGATAAATTCCAACATTAGATTCTACTTCTTAGAATAAAAGACCTCAATTATAATTTTGAATAAAACGAACAAGATGCTGTGAATTTACTCTGTTAAAAAAGATTGTTTCATTTTAATGTTTTCTAATTTGACAAACACTTATGAGTGAATTTCAAGTTCTGTCTCTAAACTGACAAAACTAGAATCTCATTGTTTTAATAATAACAATTCTATGAAAAACAAAATCCAGACCTTATAAGCAGACACACTCACCCTTACACACACATACACCCTAATATTGCTCAAGCTCCTATTCCATATTTCAAAAAGGCTTAAACAATAGTAAATCACATGGTCTCCTCCTTCTGTTTCAACTTTATACTTTTCGTCTAACAGCTTTACAATAAGGAAATAAACATTTTTAATCACTAAGTAGTCTTCAAATTTTAAGTTCATACTCAGAACAAAGGAAACAGAATATGAAACTTTCCTACAGAATTAGGCATATTTTCCTCTACTAACATACTAAACTTTGATATTGCTGTTTATATCGATTCCAATATTGTTATATTAAATAAAAATAGAAATGAAAAGGTACCACAGTAAGAATCTGAGATAACTATTTTGATTTATCCTTTCTTCTTTCTCTACTGTATTCTCTCTTTTTGTTCCATTTTCTTCTACTCTTATAGCAACTGAGTCACAAGAAAAACCTCAGAGAACAAAAATGTAGTTTGAACATCACCATGGAATCACCAAGTCCTTACCAGATAAGATTTCCTTCAACTTACCCACGTTTGATGTTATGTAATTCCTTGTCCTTCCCTTTGTCTTTCTCCTTTTCTCTTTTCTCTTTATCTCTGCCTTTACGTCGTTCTCTATCCCGAGACCGACTACGCGTTCTTCTGTGACTGGACCTTTCACTGCTACGACTATGAGAACGGAGACGAGGTCTTGACCTGGACCTATGGTAAGCAGATTTTGTTAAATAAACTTACTGCATAATTTGTATTATGAAAAGTAAATACTCTTTTAAATTATCTGAAAAAAAACTACTTAGTTTTAGTTGCGGACTCAGAATTAAATAACCATGTGAAGCAAGCACCTGAATATGATTCTTTATGAGTAAATGCTCTCACTTGAAATAATATGCGGGAAATATATATGCTAACTTTATAGTAAATAATGATGCAGTTAAAAAGTGTTTGCCTTAAAGGTTCAAATCTAGTCTTATTCATTCACATCTCCTCAAATAATGTATCTAATTTAATCTACAAGGATAGGGCTTTCCTTTTCTCTATAATCTTTGCTTCCATATCTATTCAAGTTTATGTCTTATTTCTAATTGTTCCAATATAAATATTGATCCACTCCAATCCAGCTATTCTTTGTATTAAATGCATTATGGTACAATACTAAGAAGTAATTATTTCAGGTTCTGGTTACAGCATTGATTTTAAAAAAAAAACAAAAACAAAACAAAAAAAAAACTACCAGACTGACAATCCTACAGACAATTTTTAAAAACAACCCAGGTTGACCCTTGAACAACATGGGTTTCAACTTCATGGATCCACTTACAGGTGGATTTTCTTCCATCTCTGCCACCACTGAGACAGCAAGGCAAACCCTTCCTCTGCCTCTTCCTCCTGAGCCTATTCAATATGAAGATGAGGATGACAACCTTTATGATGATCCACTTCCACTTACTGAATATTAAATATATTTCATCTTCATGCAGGGTGCGGTGGCTCACGCCTGTAATCCCAGCACTTTGGGAGGCCAAGGCGGGTAGATCACTTGAGGGCAGGAGTTCGAGACCAGTCTGGCCAACATGGTGAAACCTCGCCTCTACTAAAAATACAAAAATTAGCTGGGCATGGTGGCTCATGCCTTTAGTAACCCCAGCTACTCGAGAAGCTGGAACAGGAGAACTACTTGAACCTGGGAGGTGGAGGCTGCAGTGAGCCCAGATTGTACCACTGCACTCCAGCCTGGGTGACAGAGAAAGACTCCGTCTCAAAAACAAACAGACAAACAAACAAACAACAACAAAAACAGAATTGTTGCCTTTTTAATCCAACCATGTGATTTTCCTGCTAAACAAAACAATAAACAAACAAAAGTATGTTTTTCAGAGGAAAATAACAGAGTTTTCATAATACTCACTTTGTCCAGGATAAAAACCCAAAATTCCTAGATAAATGAAGAAACACAAAAAATGTGTTCTATTCTTAAAAGACAGTATATGAAAAGCAACTGAGATTAAACTAGATGTTAAAGTCAGCAGATAAGGATTTTAAAGCAGTAAGTGTAACTAGGCTAATAATAAATATAAAATTAAGCAATCTCAATAGGAATACCAGAACATGAAAAAAAAAATTCTGTAACTGAAAAACACAGTCTCTGAAATTAAAATTATGCTGGATGAGATTAAAAGCACACTGGTAATAACAGAGGAAAGAATCTGTATACATGCAAATAAATCAATTAAAATTACCCAATATGAAGAACTAAGAGGAAAAAAGATTGTAATAAGAAAGATCCTCAGGGATCTGTGTGACAAGATTCAAATGCCTAACAAGCTTATTTAAACCCAGAAATAGAGAAAACAGAGGATGAAGCAGTAAATGTTTTTTCAGTGGTGAGCAAAAAATTTTCTAAAGTTAATAAAAGAAAAATTTACAGATTCTTTATTAGAAGTTCAATAAACCAAGTAAGATAAACATTAAGAAGACCATGATTAGAAATACTATAGTCAAACTGAAAAACACTAAAGGTGTAGAGAAATCTTGAAAGTATTCAGAGGAAAAACAACACATTACATACAGGTGAACAATGATACCAACTATTGCCACTGACTTCTTATCAAAAACAATGGAAATCAGAAGACAGCGGAACGAAATTCTTAACATGGTGAAAGAAAACAACAGGTCAACCTAGAATTTTATACCCAGCAAAAATATCCCTGAAAAATGAAAGTAAAATAAGGACATTTTCTAGACAAAGGAAAAGTAAACAAATATCAACAGAAGACTTGCATTACAATAAATACTAAAGAAAGTTCTTCAGGCCAAAAAGGAATGATAACAGATGAAAACGTGGATCTTTAGGAAGGAATGAAGACTACCATAAAGTAAATAAATAGGTAAGTATCAAAAACTGTTTATTTCCCTTAATTTATTTAAAACACATATAAGTGCTCAAAGTAAAAATAATAGTATTTTACTCTAAGGTTTATAATGAAGGTAGACATAATACAAATAATCTCTATAGAATAAAGCATGGGGCAGGTAAATAAACCTATACTGTTAAAAGGTTTCTATATTTCACATTAAACGGTGAAATAATAATTCTAAGTACACTGAAATGTTAAGAGCATACACTGTAATCCTTACAGCAACTACTAAAAAAAGAAGAAAATAAGTATGCTAAAAAGTCAATAGATTAATTTTAAAGGAATTATTAAAAATACTCATTAATCCAAAAGGAAGCTGGAAAGGAAGTAAAAAGAAAAAAAGAAGGCAAATACATAAAATAATAAAACGATAGACTAATTATATCATAAGTACATTAGATAATAATAAACAAAATATTGTAAAAAGGCTGTCTGTCAAAGGTATAAAAAGCAATACTGTATGCCATCTAGAACAACGACTATATGCTATCTACAAAATATGTACTTTAAATAAGCAGACACAGATAGGTTAAAAGTAAATGTCTAGGCCAGGTGCGGTGGCTCATGCCTGTAATCCCAGCACTTTGGGAGCCTGAAGTGAGCGGATCACGAGGTCACAAGATTGAGACCATCCTGGCCAACACAGTGAAACCCCGTCTCTATTAAAAAATACAAAAAATTAGCTGGGCCTGGTGGCTAGCACCTGTAGTCCCAGCTACTCAGGAGGCTGAGGCAGGAGAATGGCGTGAACCCAGGAGGCGGAGCTTGCAGCGAGCCAAGATAGCGCCATTTCACTCCAGCCTGGGTGAGACTCTGTCTCAAAATAAATAAATAAATAAATAAATAAATGGCTAAAAATATATACATCATATAAACAGGAAGTACAGGAAAGCTGAAGTTAATATATTAATATCACATAAACTAGACTTCAGAAACTAAGAGTATCACCCAAAATAAAAATGGATACTTCATGATAATCAAAGGATCAATTCCTAGGTAGAAATCATGCAGAACATGTTTATCTGACCGAAACAGAATTAAATTAGAATTTAACAATAAGACATACAGAAAAACTCCAGATATATGGAAACCAAATAAAACACTTTCAAATAATCCATGAGTCAAGTAAGAAAGCACAAAGGAAATTTAAAAGTATTTTGAACTGAATGAAGATGAAAAATACAACATATGAGAATTTGTGGGATGCAGCTAAAGCAATGTTTAGGGAGACATTTATAGTTTTAAATGTTTATATTAGAAAAGAAGAAATATCTAAAATCATTACCTAAGGTTTCACTTTAAGAAGCTACAAAAAGAGGAGCAAAGCACTATAAACCCAAAGTAGCTGGAAGAAAGGAAACACTAAAGAGAAAAATCAATGGAAGAAAAAACTAAAAAAGCCAAAATCTGGTACCCTGAGAATATCAATAAAATTAATGTCTCAGCTAAAGTGATCAAATGAAAGAAAAAGAGCAAATACAAACAACCAATACAAATTACCAAAGAATAAAGAATATTGATGATGGAGACATCACATGAACTCATCCTAGATACTTAGAATATATATTAGTCCATTTTCACTCTGCTGATAAAGACATACCTGAGACCGGGAAATTTACAAAAGAAAGAGATTTATTGGACCTACAGTTCCACTTGGCTGGGGAGGCCTCAAAATCATGGTGGAAGGCAAGGAGTAGCAAGTCACATCTTATGTGGATGGCAGCAGGCAAAGAAAGAGCTTGGGATAGAAACTCCCATTTTTAAAACCAACAGATCTCATGAGACCCATTCACTATCACGAGAACAGCACGGGAAAGACCCGCCCCCATGATTCAGTCATCTCCCATGGGGTCCCTCCCACAACACATGGAAATTATGGGAGCTACAAGATGACATTTGGGTGGGGGCTGTATCAGGATATATGTAAGAGCCAAACTGTATCAGGATATATGTAAGTCTTTAAGAGAATTACATGGCTTTCAGCAGCAGTAACATTTGTCCTTGTCCATCTCTAATGGGTTCACTTAATAAATAAAGAAGAATATTAGATCACAAACCCACAAGCTTTGTTAATGTGATTTTAAGAAATTTCTTCCTTTTCTTCCTTCCTTCCTCCTTTCCTTTCCTTTTTCTTTTCTTCTTTCCTTTCCTTCCTACATTTCTTCATTCCTTTATTTATTTATTTGAGACAAGGTCTAACTCTGTCACCCAGGCTGGAGTGCAGCAGCATGATCATATCTTACGCAACCTCAAATTCCCTGACTCAAGCGATCCTCCCGCATCAGCCTCCCAAGTAGCTGGGACTACATATGCGTGCCACCATGCTCAGCTAATTTTTTTTCTGTGTGTGAGAGTGTGTGTGTGTGTGTGTGTGTGTGTGTGTATGTATGTCTATATAGATGGGGTCTCACTATTTTGCCCAGGCTGGTCTTAAACTCCTAGCTTCAAGTGATCTTCCCATGTCAGCCTCCCAAAGTTCTGGGATTATAGGCATGAGCTACTACATCAACCTGCAGTTATAATATTTATTGCTGCTAATGTTAACATAATTATTTTATTGTCCTAATTTACAAATACGAAATTTCTACCATTTGCTCTGTAAGTGTCTTTGACTATTCCTTAATTTTGACACGAGTATCTTTCTATATCAAAATTTTATCATCACAACTTACTGTCTCCACAGATGTTACCTGATTCCTTTCTGATTAAATTTTCTATTATGTGTAAATACGTGGAAATTTTAACAGATTACTAAAATCTCTGAGTAATAATCAAATTTTTAAGTTT